GTCACCAGTGTGAGAGCCTCAGATCTGAGTTCCAGGCTGCAGGTGTGGGTCTGGCCCAGCCCAAGGCATTGAGAGAGTGAACCAGAAGATGAGAGATGTCTCTTTGTCTGCCTGTCTGTCTCTGTTTCTCTCTGCTATCAAATACATGAAAATAGGTGAATAAAATATTAAAAAATAAACTGCTGTTTGATAGCCAGAGTTCTACCATGGACATTCTTTTTTTTCTTCCTTGGCTTCCTCCCTGGCTGCCAGCTCTGAGATGGAACTTGTAGCTTTAGATAACTACCCAATTGGTGATCTGTCATTTCTTCCCCACCTCTCTGCTTTGCTTTTTTTTTTCCCTTGGATGGAGCCGAGAAGTATATTTTTGTAAAATAGTGATTTCAGACAATTAGAAAGTGCTATCGGAACAAAGTCTTGGAAAGGTTATCTTGCAATGTCATTTTCCTGACTAATGCGTTTCTATGCCCTGTCACTTGTGAGCAGACATGTGTTAGTAGGCCAGTGTGCTCCGTCTGCAGTGACTTTGATTTATTTGCTCTGTAAATTGGGACTGAAGCAATAATGAAAAGTGACATTAATTGTTTAACAGAGTCCTCTTTGTCACATCCATTGCCTTCTCTGGGATGTGTGATTGTTGAAACTCATACGAAACTAATTGAAATTTCCACAGTGAGGGGTAACATACACTCAGCTTACATATAGGGACATTTATTGAGTTTCAACACAAAAACCTCATCGGTAAATATCAAGCTTCCTTCACAGCCGTCTATGATTAAAAAATAGATAATTTGCTTTAAATGTTTATTTACTTATGTTCATCTACTTGAAAGGCTGAGTGACGGGGGGGGGGGGGGGGAGAGAGAGAAAGAGATAGGGAGAAGGGAGGGAAGGAGAAAAGAGAGGGAGAGAGATAATGAGATCTTCTACCTGCTTTATTTTCCTTAGGGTGCCTGCAACAGCCAGGACTGGGCCAGGCTTGAATCAGGAGCCTAGAACTGCATTCAGGACTTCCACACGTGTCAGGGACCCAAGCACTTGTGCATCAGCTGGTGCCTCTAGGGCCACATTAGCCAGCAGCTGTATCAGAAATGCGGCAGCCAGAACGCGAACCAGTGCTCTGAGATGAGATGTAGGCATCCCCACGTAGTAACTTAACCCACTGTGCCACAATGCCCTGAGAATCTGAAATAGTAACTTCCATTATTCCGTAATTTAGGAAGAAGTTTTGAAATGCTCTTGGAGCATCCCTTCACACCCAATACAGAGATGATTCTAACAAAAATACTTAATAACTGTTTCTAATGGGCACTGGATATAAATAATGATTACAGTCCTACTGGTTCATACCAGTTGAATATCAGCTTTCTCTACTCACAACTCTGAACATACACACACACACACAAACACACACACACACACGCCATGCCAATTTCCCATCCCACAAATCCTCTCTGTCCATTGTGGTTCCAGTAGAGAGAGGAATTAAAATAGTTGGCTTAATCAGATCTTGTAAATTAATTATGACATTATCAAGCTCAGATGTTTCTGCTATTGTATTCGGTATCCATTCACCCAGACTTATTAAAAGAAATTGGAGAAAACTAGCTCATTTAAGTGTTCTTTGTTATTTTGACTTGATTGGAATTATTGTAGTTTGTTTACACAAGGGATAGAGCTAAGGCGCTATTGTATTATATGATTGAAAGCAAATAGGGGCTTGTAGTATTGCTGGAAAGACAAACACAAAATTTAAATCAGGGTAAACAAAATCACTCATTTATTGGTAAACATTCTTACCTATTTTTCTTGAGCTGTTTTTGAACTTTAGTGAGATACGTTCTGAAAAGTGGAACACCTGGGAAAATGCCCAGCTTAGGCAAAGGGAGTGCATATGTGTGCATGTGTGTTTGACATATTCTCAAAGCTTATTTTATAATATAGATATATTTATCGTAGGGTAAATCTCATGATTTTGAGAATATTTAACTCTATATTTAATTAAGTGCCATTATATTCAAAACAATTTCATAATTGGAATTTGTTTTTTGGATGTGGGAGAATCTAAAAAGGTAGTGATTAGAGTATTTGGATGTCAGATTATCACCTTGGGCAGAAAATAAGAGAAAATCATTTCAGCATCATTTATTTTATTTTTTATTGTTTCTTAAAACATTTATATAAGTTATACAAGTTTCATGTATTTGTTATATACAGATTTAGGAACATAGTGATACTTCCCACCCTACCTTCCCTCCCACCCATGCTCCAGCCCTTCTTCCTCCTCCCTCTTCCATTTCCACTCTTAATTTTTACAAAGATCTACTCTCAGTTGACTTAGTGATCATAAGGTTAACCGTATACGAAATAAAAGAGTTCAACAAATAGTATGAAGAAAAAAAATACTGTTTCTCAACAGAAAAGACAGAGCTGTAAACAGTCATAGAATCTCAAAATGTCCATTTCACGTATGTTACAATTTAGTTACTCTTATGAGTTACCTCCACTATGAAGTACTACTCAGCTGTAAAATAAATAAATAAATAAATAAATAAATAAAATCCTGTCTTTTGCAACAAAATGGATGCTACTGGAAACCATTCGATTTAGTGAAATAAGCCAGTCCCAAAAAAATAGACACCGTATGTTTTCTCCGATTCAGTATCATTTTTATTCAAGCTACATGATAAGAATCCAGAAGAATTGGGGCTGTGGACTGTTTAGCATGCTTTTGTTATTGAATTTTGCAATTGGAGTTTAATCAGTTTATGGAAGACAGTGGTGCTATTTTGAAGTTAACAGTTTACTTCTTCTGATGAGAATTTACTTCCTGCATTAGAGTCCTGTGCCTCCTATGGTCACACCACTTTGTGCCCAAACTTCTTGACTCAGCATCTCAAATCCAGGGGGATTAGGCAGAAGCATTATGCAAAAGTAAAAAAATGCAAGTTAAAACCCCTCTGAGTACAAATGATTCTTCCTGATCCCTTGCATCCCAAAGAAAAAGAAGCCCATAGTTTAACTTCTGGATGGAGACTGATCAGGAATGGGGGAAAACAATTTTTATGTGAAAATAATGCATACGTGATCAAGACCTGCCTAATTTCTCTAGCAATACAATTTGATTTCCTGATTAGCTGTCTTATTCTGTGATTCTTGTAATTTTGTCAGGTCAATTAACTGGAGTTCAGTGCTAGAGAGAAAGATGTGTGAGCACTGCTGGCTTCATTAGATGTCAGCAGCTTAGGTGCATTTGGTAATAGAATCTGTGTGGGATAATTTAGCCCATATTGTTAATGTCATCGCATACAGGATTTTTTTTAAAAAAGACTTTTGAAGCTAGTCAAATTGGACAAACAATGTGAAGTTTTTTTTTTTTAAAGAAAAGACACCAAACAGCTTATATTGTTGGCAATAAACAGAGATCAATAAATTATTCAGCTAGTAATATTTGATTGTCTATACTGTGTGCCTAACACTGGTTGTTATTGTTCAGATTTGTAGGTAAAGTAACACATGGCTCTGTTTACGAGGTCTAGTTTCAGAGTTTTTGAATGTTTTTGTACACTGTACTGAAAGAAATATTCTTTTATATAAAGATGGTTTATAGGTTCTGCCTTCTCAGGGGAGGGTTCTTTGGAGGAGCAGAGTTTTGTCTTATTTCTCTTTGTGTCTCCAACACCTAATGTGGCCCTGACACAGAACAGGTGTTCAAAAATATTTCTGGGATAACCCATTGAAGGTTAGCTCTCCAAGGGTGTGTTGGCGAAATGAGTCTGGGAGATGAGAAAACAAGATAGAATATATTTGTAGGAGCCCTCAGAAGTAATGCTGCACTAGAATAGTACCTGCGGCCATAAGTAATGAATGCATTTAAGATATACTACAAAGCAAGACTTCACCGTGACTGACCAGATAAAGAGAAGTCAAGGTCCTTGCCGAATTTAAGTCTGGAGAATTGGTATCCAAACGGAAGAAGTCAGGAGAAAAACGCAGTTTCATTCTGCAAGGTGCACAGATTGGGTTTTGGAGATGAGGAAACTGTTATAAGTTAGAAATATCCAGTAGGCAAGTGGAGATTTATAACCAACATTGGCAAAGATGACAGGGAGAGAAATAAATGATTGTGGGGTGTTCAGTGATGAGATTATAATTGAAACCATGAAAGTGTATAGTTCCTCTTGGTGGAATTTCATTTTTTTTAGATTTATTTTATTTATTTGAAAGAGTTAGAGAGAGAAGTAGAGCCAGAGAGAAAGACAGAGAGAGGTATTCCATCTACTGGTTCACTCCCCAGATGAAGCCAGAGCTGAGCTGATCCAAAGCCAGGAGCCAGGAGCTTCTTCTGGGTCTCCCATGCGGATGCAGGGGCCCAAGGACTTGGGCCATCTTCTACTGCTTTCCCAGGCAGAGAGCTGGATGGGAAGTGGAGTAGCTGGGACTCGAACCGGTGTGCACATGGGATGCCGGCACTGCAGGCAGAGGCTTTAACCCACTGTGCCCCCCGTGCAGGAGGGGGAGTTTCAGTTTTGGCTGTGTTCAGAGAGAGGGCTATTGAAACATTTTGGGTGGCATGGTGTATATTCAGGGTTGCCTTCAGATTGAAACACCATATTGGGAGATGAGATAGATGCAGGTGAAAATTCTCTCTCTCGACCTGTGAGTTCTACATCTTTTCTTAAAGGAAGAGGATGAGAGCATACAGAGAACAAGACACAGCCACATCCAGTAGAATTAAGCCAAGACATAGCCCATGCCAAAGTGGACAGTTCAACAGCTGGAGATCGACACTGTTGAGTTATTCCTGAATTGTGTGTTTCGGACCAAAAGGCAATCTGGAGGGTGAGGAAGACTCCACATTCTGGTGTGGGCATTCAAGCTCTCACTTGGGATCCACTCAGTCAGTTAAACATGTTCAGCCTATGCCAATCAGCAGGGTTACTTACCTCCTGATGTCAACTCACTTGTGTCTGCTGTTTTGTTGTTTTCTGTTTCTGCAGAAGATAGATGAAGAGAATGAGGCAAACTTGCTAGCAGTCCTCACTGAGACCCTGGACAGTCTCCCTGTGGATGAAGACGGATTGCCTTCATTCGATGCGCTGACAGATGCTGACGTGACCACTGACAACGAGGCCAGCCCTTCCTCCATGCCGCACGGCACCCCTCCCCCTCAGGAGGCAGAAGAGCCGTCTCTAGTAAGAACCCGTCCTCCTGGTTAGCAGCAACTGGAGTTGCTTCTGGCTCTCTGCTGCATGGGGCTGATGTAGCAACAGTCAGGTTGGGGGTCTGAATTTAGACTGATGCCAGAACGTTGCCCGAGAATGCTCAGATTTGCAAATTCCATGATTCCTCTACTTGAAAGTGCTGAGAATACAGGCCTTCATGTAGTCTTATTGCAGTTTTTATTTTATTTGTTAGCTATCTTTGGCTGTCTGTATGTTTTTTTGTATCTTACTATTATGTTCATGGCGAAAACTGAGACAACTAAAAAAGAGACTAAAAATTCACCTCTGATTTCAAGGAACCTTTAATATAAAAATGGTTGAAAGCTCCTTTTTTCCTCTTCTTTTTTAATTTTTGAGATAACATTTGTAATTTATATTACAGTCAAAGGCTTAATGCTCCACCAAATAGAGAGTTAAACAAACAAAAATAAAAAAGACCATAGTTCAGCAGGAATATAAGCAAAGGCTATAAATAGCAATGCAATGAAAACTTGTCTATTTCAGTCATACATAGTAAATTTTAAAATAGTCACAGTTCATTAAAGCTATAATAGTTTATCATTCTTAACATATAGTTTAACAAAGGTTGAAAATGAAGTTTAGCAAAACACTAAATATTTCTAAAAATAAAAAAAAAACTAAAAAAAAAGGGAGAAAAGGAAATGCCTGTGGATATCAGTTTTCCTGCAAATATAGTGGTTTGTTAGACTTTGAAATCTCCTTTTGGTTTAAGTTCTATGATGGCCTTTCTAGTGAAACTTTAAATACATGCATAACTTTGAATTGTCACCAAGTTTTTTTTTTTGGTTTGGAGATGGTCTAGCTTATTAAGCAATCCCTAATTGGAAATTTAGGTTTTTCCTTGTGTTTTTCACTCTTACAAATGGTACAATAATTGAAACAATTCCTTTTTATTCTTATATGTACAATTAATTAAATAAATTGGAAGACCAAGGGGTATGCAATACAAGTATTTAAAGAAATTGAATCCATGTTTCTTTCGATGATTGAAAAATAATGACACTTGCTGGCCAGCGCCGCGGCTCAATAGGCTAATCCTCCACCTGCGGCACTAGCACACTGGGTTCTAGTCCTGGTCGGGGCGCCAGATTCTGTCCCGGTTGCCCCTCTTCCAGGCCAGCTCTCTGCTGTGGCCAGGGAGTACAGTGGAGGATGGCCCAAGTGCTTGGGCCCTGCACCCCATGGGAGACCAGGAGAAGCACCTGGCTCCTGGCTTTGGATCAGCACGATGTGCCAGCCGCAGCGGCCATTGAGGGGTGAACCAACGGCAAAGGAAGACCTTTCTCTTCTGTCTCTCTCTCTCACTGTCCACTCTGCCTGTCAAAAATAAAATAAATATATTATTAGACACTTGCAAACCAAGATACTTTTATTTATAATATACAATGAAGAATGGATTTTCTTTTCTATGTAGTGCTTGGCCAGGATTTCATTAGTTCCAAGACATAGTTGACGTTTCTGATACAGTCACCTTTTGTCACTTGCCATAAATCTGATGTAATAGCATGGTGTATAAGTTTCCAAAGACCATCTTCTAAACTCTAATTATGTGCTTTGGCATGCCATTTTGAGGTAGTCCTCTCATATCTTTAAGTTCTTAAATGTTGACAGAACACCACATAAACATTTGCAGGCCCTGGTTGTCTTCTTTTGCATTTTGTGTTTTTGATCTTGAGAAGTGTATCTGAGAATTATCCCTTATTTATTCTCCCAGTTCTCCATTTGTCAGTGGCATTGGCTTTGCTGTCCAGTGTCCTGATTTCTTTACATTGTTGCCAGACAATTTGCATCCACACATTCCATTCACTGGGAAGGGCTGCAAGACTCAAAGGCAGACCTGGTGCCAGGGCAGCCAGTTCCTTGAGGAGCATCCACACAAAGGAAGAAACAGGCCAGGAGACAGTGAGTGGTCTGTGTCGAACTCCACCTTGTCATTCACAGGCCGACACTCACAAAGCCTCTTCTTCCTTCCTGAAATCAGGGGTATTTGCTCTTTGATCTGAAACATTTCTTGAATAAGTAAATTTGTGTATTTGGTTGTGACACAGAGTTCAAAGCACCACAAACTTTTTATTTATTACCACTTGATTGAGGGCAGAATGTGTATTTCATCTTCCCCAGGGCTGAGTCCTCATGTAGCAAGGCAGCGTTTCTTACCTCATTAGCAGTGGTTTGGAAATCATTTTGGCAACCTCCTTGTACTTTATCTAAAAAGCGTGGTAGTAGACAGTCCCAAATCTGAAATGTCGGAAAAGAAAATGCTTTTCTAGTTGGTAGTGCAATGCCCAACTTTTTCTAACTTTAAAAAAAAAAGTTTCCTTTAGCACTATTGTGCTAAGGTGCGATATAATTGAAGAATGATAAATACTTTTTATAAATATTATCAATTTTAAGTTTAAAATTTCAACAACTTTTTCAGATGCATAAGAGATGACTAACTTTTCTTGGTTTTCCCCTTCCCTGATCCGTTTCTAGCTTAAGAAGCTCTTACTAGCACCGGCCAACACTCAGTTAAGTTATAATGAATGCAGCGGTGTCAGTACCCACAACCATGCAAACCATAATCACAGGATCAGAACAAACCCCGCAGTTGTTAAGGTACAAACGTAAGCTTCTTCATATGGGGAGACAGCAACAAAGGGTTTTGCTTGTAGCTGTAAAACAAAGGGCAGGTTTGCGTGGGGGAATACTGCAGGAATGCCTTGCCACGGCTGCTTGCTAAAGGGGAGATAGATTGCTCAATCGGTTTCCAAAGGCTACACTTGAGCTACTTAAAACTTCTTAGAAAGGGTCCATTTATGCTTTGTCTTGGGATAACCACAATGGAAGTGGGACCCTCTGTGTCTCCTGGCCCACTTTGTTAATACACGGAGCTCTGTGGGCTACAGACGGATTCACTGATAGGCTGGCATTGTGTATGAGTGACTTGAAGGTGTAGCAGGGCTGTTTTGCCAGCTGTCCAACTTGAGATTGCTTTGGAATCGCTGCGATAGCGCTCTCGCTCTCTCTCTCTTGCTCTCTCTCTCTCTCTCTCTCTGCCATTAATGGGAAGCAATGCTGGCAATGACATAATTCGGTTAGCGGGCTGTATTAAACAATGTTTGTGTTGCCATTCACTGTGAGTGAAAACGGAGCGTTAAGGGGTACTTAAGAGAGTTGTGAATACTGGGCTTCAGCAATCAGCGGCAAATTAAGGTTTAAACCAGTTTATTTTTTTTTATTCACAGTAAAGGCGCTGTAGGGTCTTGTTAGTTACATGTTGCTGAGTAGGAACATTGAAATGTAGGCAAAATGAAATAAAAAGCTGAATAAATGTCATTTAGGAATTTTAAATGTAATTTTCTTTCCTTGTTCTGCAAACAATTATTCACAGCTCATAGATCGAGTACACTTAGACTGAACACTTCATTGAAAATCTCATCTCTTCAGAAAACCTATATCCATTCTGATAAGGTTCAGTTCACTAATTTTCGCTTTCTTTATGCCTTGTTTTAAGACTGAGAATTCATGGAGCAATAAAGCGAAGAGCATTTGTCAACAGCAAAAGCCACAAAGACGTCCCTGCTCGGAGCTTCTCAAGTATCTGACCACAAACAATGACCCTCCGCACACCAAACCCGCAGAGAACAGGAACAGCAGCAGAGACAAATGCAACTCCAAAAAGAAGTTCCACTCACAGTCGCAGTCGCAACATGTGCAAGGTAGGCTGGGCGCCCGAGGGAGCGGCCGGGAGGGTGCGCTTGGCAGAGAGAGCGACCCCAAGGGCCGCGTTCCCAGACTGAACGCGTCCAGCCCAGCTGTGTCTCCCTATGGAAAGGGAACCAGCGCTTTACGGCAGAGGGGAAAAACAGACTCCTTCGCTGGACACAGGTTGAGCATATCGTGTTATGCTGACAAGCAGTCTGCTCCCAATCAGCAGAAGAAATGTTAGCCAGGCGGAGGTGGGTTGGGTGGGAAGGGATTGCAACATCACGTGGGGCTTAGAGGGCTCTCTGAATTGCTGAGATAATTGAAGTTATGAGTAAGTGGGGCTCACCAATTCATTAAAGAGCTGTTGTTTTTTCCCTACCAGTAAGGGGGAAAAATGAGGCGTCCTAGATTTACCTCATTTACCTTATGAGTAGTAAATGGTATTTATGCGCTCTCTCGTTTTTAAGATCACATGCTGTACTCACAGGATCTGAAAATTCCTGAATTTTTTTTTCCTTTCTATTAAGAAATTATGACCTGGATTACAGTAAACATCTGGGTTGATTGGTACAATTTGCATACATTGCTGGAAGGCTGGCGCTGCTGAGGTGGATTGGGGTTGATTTGGGCAAAGCTGCTTTTGGCAGAGACGCACTTTTCTTCCTGGCTCCTCTTGAAATGTTGTCGTGTCAGAGGCCTAAAGAGAGCTTTTGTTGGAAGTAAGTGTTGCTTTGCAATATGTCAGCTTCTACCGTACAGCTACCCCCAACCTCATCGTGGAAGTAGGCATATTCCAAAACAGCAATTATAAAAATCCACCTCTTTTCTTTTTTTCCTTTTGTTTCCCCAACGTCTCCTTCTAGCTGCAGAGTGGTAGCCCCTGCTCCCTGTGTTGAATCATGCTTGTTTCACGCAGGTATGCTGTTGTTGCTGCTGATTTCAATAAATAGTTCCTTCTGTTTTTTTAAGCTTCCCTCCCTCATCCCAACCACACCATTTGCCCAGATTTTTCAAGAAACTTTCCTTTAATATTTTAGATCGTCTCTCAATTTGGCTTTGGTCTGGTGGATATGTCAAAGTAGCTGTCCATTCCCTTCCGTCAGTCTGGGGGAATGCATTTAGCAAACTGGGCCAAATTCCCTTGTGGCTCTCTTTGCCCTGATTGGCTCTTTGTCATAACTCAGGAAGGGCTGCTCTCAGGGCAGGACCAGGGTGCTGGGGCACTTGCCTCAGGTGAAGAGAAGCCAGCTGGGCTCACTCTACCAAGCGAACTACAGGGTTCTTGGGGCACCATTCTCCCTTGTCCTGCTGTTTTCTGGAGCTGAATTTAAACTCCCAAGTTCAATGAATCTCTGTCATCTGTGAACCCAGCCTCAGGAGCACATGTTTCAAAGAATTCTCCCTCTCCTTTTGGATTCTGAACCTTTTTTTTTTTTTTTTTTTTTTTTTTACATTCATGTATCACTCAGTGTAACTTTACACAGTTTCCAATCATGACAGTGAAGGCTTGATTTAGGCCTCTTTTTCTTTTTCTTTTTTTTTTTTTTTTAGATTTATTTATTTGAGAAGCTGAATTAGAGAGAGAGAGGTTTTCCTCTTGCTGGCTCACTCCCCAAATGGCTGCAATGGCCGAGCTGGCCGGAAGCCAGGAGCCAAGAACTATAAGCTTCCTCTGGGTCTCCCATGTGTGTGCAGGGGCCCAAGTACTCAGGCCATCCTCCACCGCCCTCCCAGACCACCAGCAAGGAGCTGGATCAGAGGGGGAGCATCCAGGACATGAACCGGTGCCCACATGGGATGCCAGCGCCACAGGCAGAGGCCTAACCTACTAGCCACAGCGCCAGCTCCTTGAGAAGGCCTCTTGATGAGACATGCTTTATCTGGATTTTTTTAAAGGTATTTACCTGTGTCAAGGCATGAAAAGTTTATCCCAGAACACAGTCTGTAGTTATTAAAGGCCTAGTAGACATGAAACATGCCTGGCTAGTAACGCCCAATAGCTACCCAGCTTCAGAAATGAAGTTTTTATTAAAAATCAAAAAGGAGACATTGTATGAACAACCAGAGATATTAAATGAGAGTGTCTACTGAGGTCAGCTGCCTGCATTGTACTTTTCCTCACTGAACTTCCTGTGTGTTCTCTGTAACCCTGTGGGATTAGGTTCTTTTCAGTTCCTTAGGAGACTTGTTTAGGCTTTGCCCTGTGTTGGCCTCACACTTATTCACCAATGGATGCTTCACTGGTGCTTCCATCCAAACACAACATGATCTGCATATAAAAGATGCCTTCCTGCCCTCAAGGATCCTACAGGTCTCTGGTCTGTCAGTCATTGGAGCAGGATGGGTGGACTTTCAGGAAACCAAGACAATACTGCTGTGGTGGTAGCATTTGTGAGACTGGACTTCTTCAGGGATTAGGTTCTGCTTATGGTTTGGGGGCTGCACCCTGCCTAGAGTTATCTTTTCTTTTTTGCCTTTGCTCCTCTTAAATATGGCTGATGCCAAGCCCTCTCATTCCAATACTCTTGACCTTATGGGTATCCAACTACCAAAAACTACCAAAACCATGTGGATCTTCCTCTGGGCCTTTCAATGTAACATGGCATCACCATGTTAAGAGCTAGAATTTCAGTTTCTGATTTTTAATGTGTATTTATTGTATGACATAGTCCATTAGTGGTTATATTTTCTATAGAACTTGTCTGAATTATCCTAATTATTAGGTTAATATCATGAATGTTGGGAAAATTCCCTCATAAATGTATTCTTTTTGAAAGCTTTATTAAATTAGTCATGCTAAAAAATTAATGTGAAATCAGCTCATTTATCTATATATATGAAGAAGCCAATCAATCAGTGTACCTAATTTGTAGAAGACAGCATGAGCTTTGTATTTCTGGATGCACATTGGATAGATGATATGCCATTCAATTGCTTGAAAACTAAATTTAAATCTACAAATTAAATGTATAAATATTATTTATGCAAGTAAAGTACCTAATTCAGGCTAATTTGGACATAAATAATATCTTCACATTTCAAAGGACCTTAATTGCTGGAACTGATGAATTTACTTTAAAGTTTATTGAATGCAATTCCTTTTGATAATAAGAGACAGGAAACATAATCTTGGCAACTCTGCCAGTCACCAGTTTCATGACCCTAGAAATATCATTTAGCATCTTTGGGTCTCAGTTTCTTCATGCATAAAGTAAGAAAGTTTATCCCAAAGACCTTTTTGGTCACCTCTGTGATTTTCACTGCATAAATGGCTATCTGTTGAAAATAGGTTAATGAGAACAAATTGACATAAACCTGCACAAATATATGTCCATAGATAAGCAAATATGTGTATATAAATATATATCTACACACAAGATACAAGGATATTTATCAAGTGTGTTTCTCACTATATTTTCCCCTCCTTCTGTTCAAATACAAGACTGCCATGGAGAAGCCATTGAAATTTTGGAGTGAGAAGATTCTTACTCCACCCTTCAGTATTGGGGAATGCCTCCTGTAGGAGGTAAGATTTAGGAAAACACAGAAGTAGTGAGGTCTCTTTCAGAGTCTGCAGATCTCTCCACTGTTAAACAGAGTATCTGCACTTTGTTGTCAAATATGGGGATCCCAGCTCCATATAAGCCATCTGGATCAATGTCTACAATTTTTTGTAATCTCTCAATTAGTTTTCAGTGAATGGGATGCTTATTGCTTGAGCTTTGGCCTCATGGAAATAACCTATTCTCAGGGCTAGATATAAAATTATACATTTTAGGAGTAAAATCAACTGAATATTCATAGCGTTCTGTCACATTGTGGTTCCTCTGCTGTTTTCTCGTCTAAACAAACCGTATACTCTATTCCAAATTAAAACAGAAAGCATTATTTCTCTTTGATGGTATGATGCAAATTTTGTATCTTTTATAGGGATGGTACATTTTGGGGAAAATTCTGTTTTTGTATGTGTTTTCACATGACAGCTTACTGATACAAATGTTGTTTGGAATTTGTTTTAACATAACGGACTGCTATCTGACTTTGATCCAATATTCAGGGGTTTCCTTAGTTCAGTCTTCCAGTTTCCTCGCCGTGTTTCCCACTTGACTGAAGTAGGAAGGAAGCGAATCTAAGAAAGACTCAATATTTCATAATTAGTTTCTTTTTCTCCCTTTAGCCAAACCAACAACTTTATCTCTTCCTCTGACCCCAGAGTCACCAAAGTAAGTATTAAGAAATGGAATCATTTTCAGAAAGGGAAGGGGGTTCTAATACTTTTGGCTACAGCAACTCCATTTCAGTTTGTTTTTATAAATGTGCCATATCTTCCAGTGACCCCAAGGGTTCCCCATTTGAGAACAAGACTATTGAACGAACCTTAAGTGTGGAACTCTCTGGAACTGCAGGTAAGCCTTACATTTCACTTTGGACTTCTGTGTGTGTGTGTGTGTGTGTGAGTATGTGTGTGTTAGAAATACATGGGAGACAGTGGAGTCGATTCTAGATGCATTTGAAAAACTTAACAAATGAAATTGGATAAGCAGTTATCTGCAAATCTTTGGAGTTACTTAATTTTTGAGAAAAAAACTGAACATTTTTAAAAAGAGAAGTCATTTATTGTGTGTCACATCTGGGCTAGAGCTTCTGATGCAGATTGTTTTGTGTCCTCCAATAACCTTTTTTCAAAAAAAATTACCAAAACTTGAGTAGGAGGAGAAATGTGCATTTATTGATCTCCCAGTCAATAAGTTGCCACGGTATACGTGGTTTTGGTTAATTTCACACCAAACTCATGAGGATGGTGGTCATTTTCTCATTTTTAAGATAAGGAAATAAGATTCTGGTATGTTAAAGAACTCCCAAGATCTTAGAACTGGAAAGAAAAAAGCAAAAGGATTGAACTCGGGTTCATTGATTTTCAGTGTTTCCCTTGGAATATTTTCTTAATTCTCCATCATACCTCATGACAAAACACTGTCCTCTCTGTCTTACTATTTTTATGTCTTTCCAGCAAAGGAGGATAGTGAATATATATGCATCCATCAAAACAAAGTGTCTTTATATACTTTTCAGCAAGAGTATTTCCTACATCCTTTTGGCCTTCTGCACTCCTTTAGCCAGCCTTTACCTGCTGGAGAGAAAGGAGCTTTCAGTACGTGGGCTGACTGAGGAGTTCCTAGACAAACCTCTCAGTTGGTTGTAGATGGTGATTCTGCATTAAGGGCTTGGGTTGAGGTACCTGATCCCAAGCAGAAATGAGTTTTAGGATGTCTGAACAAGGAATTCTTGTGGCCCTGGCCATTTCTGATAATAGCAAAGGAATAATAAGTTAAACAAGATATGCTTTCAACCAGAGCTATGGTGCCTATACACATAGTGGTCATTGTCACTAAGTTTAATTTCACGCTTTGAGTTGGCTGAATTATCTCCTAATGAAAGGGCTATTGCATGATTGCATGATTTGGTCAAGCAGTACAGTAGTAAATTTCATGGTGTATAAAGAACACGGGTGTATATGTAGATGCTCATGTATAGGGACAAATATATCTGTTTTATTGATTATATACTTCCATATATGTTTATTGATTACATACTTATATTCACTTATAGATGTAAATATATCAAAGCATATATATAACACTTTAGGCATATGCATTTCTTAAATTGATGCAGATATAACATCATTTCTTAAATAAATTATAACAATACAATTAGAAGTAACATTTTTGTATATATGCAAACATAATATAATATTCAAAAGAGGTATGTCTAACTAGTGATGACCAGTAATTGGTGGGTTTATTTAAAAAGCTGATTCCATCATATTGAATTTTGTTATTTTAGTTTGTACTTAAAACAAACAAGGGGTCTTCCAAGACTTAATGGAAAATATGCATGATATTTTAAATCTGTTTTCCCATGATTTCTTTAAGGATTTAAGTATTTTTATCTGAACAGCAGAGAGAAAGATAGAAAGAGATATCTTCCATCCACTGGTTCACTCCCAAAATGGCCACAATGGCCGGTACTGGGCCAGAATGCAGCCAGGAGCCAGGAGCTTCTTCTCAGTCTCCCATGTGGGTGAAGGGCCCGAGCACTTGGGCTGTGTTCTACTGCTTCCTGGGAGCATCAGCAGAGAGGAGGACTACAGTGGAGCAGCCAGGACAGGAAGCAGCACTTCTATGGAATGCTGGCATTGCGAGCCTCTGCGTCACCTGCTATGCCCACAGCACCAGCCTCTCCCATTAATTTTGTAAAGGCTCCTCCATATAAATATGTAATCAAACCTCATAGTTTTTGTAGAAGACAGAGACCATTACCCCGAGCTAACTGGGGAACCATTCATTGTTCTTGCACAATCCATACCAACAATCTATCACAGATGGTATCTTTGTTTTGTTTCTTGCTCTTTGAAGGGAAAGAAGGAAATACAATTTTATGGTAGTCTGAAGGCAAAATATTTCTAGATTTTTATGATTTCTCCTGACGTTTTTCCAAAACTAATTTGGCAGTGCTTCTTTTAGCAACATACTTTTGTTAGATCTTTTTATAGTGATGATTTTTCATATTCATATTCCATTCATTTGTATGATATTTTACCATTTTTAGTAATTTTTCAAACACCAGTGCAATTGACATGGGCTGGTTTTAGAAAATCTGCTATTGTGGCTTTTGGTAACAATTCAGCTTAAAAGAATCTGTTAATTAGTATTAGTCAAAATGTTGTGGGCATTAGTCAGTTACCCTCTGGTAAAGTTGGGTGAGAGAATTTCCATTCTATATGTCAACACCAAGCTTCCCATTCAAGGCCACTTTTAACGATTTTCTCATTATAAATAATGTCAGCTTCCTACAAAAATGTCAAAAATGCCATGAAGTAGAAAGCATTAATTCTAAAAAGTTATCCATATTATTAAATCCATATTGTTAAAATGTGGACATTTTAATACACTAATTTGTGTATGTGTATATACTTATACTCGTGTATTAATTTTTCATTCTAATTTTGTAAATTAACCTCCTAATAAGAAAGTTTTACATCACTTTAAACCCTTTATTTTCAGGCCTTTTAGAGTACTGCATAATATTTGTGTAGGCATATCAATTTATTTAATCACACTCCTCTTGTTATATGTGAATGTTACTCTTCTGAAATCACACTGTATTGGAAATCTTTGCTCAAACTTTTATCTCTTTTTCTTAAAATACTTTCTTAACGGTTATTAATGTTTAAATTAAAGATATAAATATCTTGGCTGGTATGTATACATATTTTTCCAATTCAATAATCTGATTAGCACTGTATGAATAGCTTGCTTTAGTACATCTTTTCTAATGTTGGATATCTTTTTCAAATTTATAGACATGAACATATTTCATTTGCTTTTCTTCCATTGGTAAAATTAAGATATTAAAAGCACTTAATTTTAGTTTCTTCTTAGCAGAAATTTGAACATTTCCTCCTGTTAACAAATATCTAGTTTTCAATAATTTAGTTATCATTTTGAAATGTTAATAGGTTATTACAAGACAGGTTAATATTTATAAAAGGGTATTTTGGTTAATAGTAGGAATCTTTAAAATTGTACGTAGTAGATTTATTTCTGTTAGTGAATCAACTTTCATCTTATTAGTTTAAACCCTTTATTCATGGCCTTGTTGAAAGATTACTGAGTGCAATTGAAATAAATTTACTGACTTTTTTTAAAAGAATTATTTTATTTATTTGAAAGTCAGAGTTACACAGAAAGAGGAGGAGAGGCAGAGAGAGAGAGAGAGAGAGAGAGAGAGAGTCTTCCATTCCTCTGGTTCACTCCCCAGATGGCTACAGTAGCTGGAGCTGGGCCAATCCAAAGCCAGGAGCCAGGAGCTTCTTCTGGGTCTCCCACATGAGTGCAGGGGCCCAAGGAGTTACGTCATCTTCTACTGCTTTCCCAAGCCACAGCAGTGAACTGGATGGAAAGAGGAGCAGCCAGGACTCGAACCAGCGCCCATATGGGACGCTTGCGATTCAGACTGGGGCTTTAAGCGGCTGTGCCACAGCACCAGTATGTTTAATACCTGCTCTTTACTGGCAGCATAGTAGGTCTTGTTACGTGTACAACCAGGATAAGGTTGAGACTGTGTAAAGTGTCGAGCATAGCGCTTGCCATAGACATGCTAAGTAAATGTTCCTGTGTGTAAGACTCGAGCTTATGGTCTGGTAGGAGAATAATACATGTTGATAGCTAGCATGAGGGTAAAATATTATTGATTGTATATAATATTTATTATATTTATTTATTTATTACATTTTATTACTATCTCAGAAAGGTGGGTCCAGAGGGTGGTTTTAGTTTGTAGAGCTTGATCGTCAGTTGTAGCTGTGAAGAGTCAGTTGGAGAAGCTAAGGTAGAGTCATCTTGCATGTATATAAGAGAAGAAATTTAGAGCAACAGGGAAACAAGGAAATGATAAGGAACTTGGAACATACTGAATGCAGCTAAAGGTCAAGTTTAGAAACGATCTGGAGGGTGGTATAAGGAGGATGGCCTGAGTGGTGGTGGTGGGATTTTCCTTTCTTCATAGAGACAGTTTGAGTGTGAACTGTGATGCGTAATGAACTGTGATGTGTAATGTCTATGATACCCATCTCTCCTGAAACTCTTCAGTAAACTGTGTCGCTTGCCTGTGTTTGGAGGATGTGACAAACACTGTAACTCAAGAAAATCACAAGGAGAGAAAAGCAGTTATCAAAGGGAACATTCTAAACTGCCTTTAGTTAAAGACAACGATTATGTAAAGGATTAAAAAGAATTATACACAGAAGACCATGGATCTTAGTGGAGAATGGGACTGGGAATGGGGAGGGGTAGGAGATTAGATGGGAGAGTGGGTATGGTGAGAAGAATCGCTGTATTCCTAAAGTTATACTTATGAAATGCATGATGTTTGCATTTCCTAAATAAAAGGTTTCTTTGGGAGGAAATAAAAATAAAAAAGAATTATAAAGACAGTTAAGGAACTGAAAGAAACATTAGGGCAATATCATCATCATAGGATTGACAGAGATGATCCAAGGAAAGATGTGTAGAGAAAACTGAGCTCTCCCTAGGATAAACTGACATGGGAAATCCAAAGGGAAAAATATATATTTGTATCAAATTTTAAATCTTAAGGGTAGAAAGAAGAGAAGTTAAAGATGGAACAGAAGTAAGAAGGCAGGAAACCAGAGTTCCTCAGATAACATGAGTTGGCCTGGGAAGTGAAATCTGTAAGGAATTGTAAAATGGAACACACATTTCCCTTCCTTAACCTCTAAATCCTTGCTCTTTCTTGGCCTTAGCTTTCTCAACTTTAAAGTCATATTCATAACAATCAGGCTGAAATTACTGTCTGACTCAAGTGACTAAATCAAGGTTGAAAT